GGCAGAATGTTCGGTCTCCGGGAAGCGGATTTGTCATATCGGAACATTACGGCTCGAACGGGGCACTCTGTTGCGACAGTGATGCGTATGTGGAACCATGCCTCCAGAAACGTAGCTCGCCAGACGGTCTCCAGAATGGCAATGCTCTCGCTGCCCACAAATGATGATAATGAACTTCTGAGTCTACAACAGTTTCGAGTCATGAAAAAGCGTACAAAAGGAAAGTGAAATAACCAATGAGTTTATTCTCATTGGCTATTTCATGAGTTAACCAATGAGAAGTATTTCAATTCTTTCTCGGATCTCCCGCATGTTAAAGTATTAGTGATGAGATGAGTAACACTATTTTAAATTAGGGTTTTACAAAATAATATCAAACATGTATTCTGTCGTAAACTTTCAGAAGGAAGTTGACATTTCCGCAGTAGTAAGAAGATTGATAGTCAATTTTAAAGTAAAAGTCACTATTGATTGATTGATTGGGGATTCTGAGAGCTCTATTCGGCCACAAAATTTCGACGAATTACGCCATTATCAATCAGTGGATGACATTAGGAGCGTAGTGACACAGAAGCTTTGCAACATTTCTAAAACAACTATTCTACAGACCATGCTGACGTTGCAGGATGATGCAGAGAAGCGCATAAAAAAGAGGAGATCGCGAAATACGTGAGGGGTGCATTATGAACAATCCAAAATAATGCTACGCATATTAAAATTTTATCTGCTTTATGGCAGTCGTCTTAAAACCTCTAGGCCCCACATTGCATCTACTAAGTATTGCGCAGTTACATAAACAATTGCTGGTAAGAATTGTTAGACGTTGTACAGATGCTGTTAAAATAAATAACTTGAACACAAAGTCCTGGTATTGGGTGACAATACTTCCTTCAATATCGTCTCTTTCATGTGTTCGCACAAAGCCTGTAATTCTGAGAATATTTCAACACATGTCACTTACAAAAGGAAACGCGCGAAACAGCGAGTCATCACAGCAAACACAGCGAGGACATTTCCGAATACTTTCACATTTACTGATACAGAGGATTTGAAAGTTACTATGTAGATAATAACAATTAATTAGTGTATATTTATGCGTACGATACATAGAAAATTATGTAAGACAATAGCACAGGCTGGATCTGCAGAAAGGTTAAAAGTGAGATTAATCACTTTTCTGTTCTGACGAAAAATGACCGCGTAAAATAGTCTGTAAAGCCTTTGCTCATTTTTAGGTACCGATTTCATCCTGATTGACTATCGCGCCCCTGGTGTCACTTTTTGGAACTTTCTCAGGTTTGCTATGAGTGTGGTGCAATTTGTTCCTTTAATACAGTTTCGGGAGCGTTCAAATATGTTTAATTGTAATGTGAAGTGATTACCGTCAAAAATAAAACATGTACAGTGTGCTCAGAATCGTTCCGTACTCAGTCCTAATATACCATAATTTAATTTGTTACAATAGAAACTAAGTTCAACTGATCGTCAGCCCTTTTTGAGGCTTCGTGAGAAAATATTTCCATTATGGGAGCGTGCAGAAATCCGAAAAAAACCCTTTTAAATTGATCGTTTTTGTTCATTCAGTTTTGATACCGGAACAGTAGAGCAGAGAAATAAACTACCTTTTTCCAACCATTCTCTGTACACAAAAATGATGAAACTAGTGTTTCCACAGAATGGCATAGACTTTCTTGAACTAGTTAGTTTTCTAATTTCTTGGCTCTGGGTAGCATTCCGGTTTTGCCACTTCTTCCCCGCTACCATCTATCGCCACCCAATGTATACTTTTCACATTTTATCAATGTTTATGCCCCCCATACGTAGATCTGAAAGTGCCTTTTTAAATATTATAGAAGAGTTAAACCTCGTCCTAAATGGAAATTATCATTGTAAAATCTGGAATCGCTTTTGAGAAAGGGGTTAATCTTTTCTGCAAATGCGAAATTTGAAGCTCATTTTCACAGAAAACTTTTAAGTTTTTGAGAAACTTAATTGGAAAAAATTTGAACCACATTGATTTACAAATGTAATAATGTATACAAATTGTTAAATGTATAAAAATTACCGACGTGAGGGATATTAAAAAGTGTAATATTTTTAGAAATAATACAAAAAATCATGAAAGTGGCATTAATGTAATGTTGTTGAGTCCATTTACGTTCAAAAAAGTTAATGAAAAAATTTGGAGTTCTTTTTGAAAAAATGGGTTCGAGCATTCCTGAAACTGCGGAATTTAGAGCTCATTTTCACAGAAAACTTTTGACTTTTTCGAGAAACTTTATAAGACATTGAAGCAAAAACACTCATAAATGAAATAATGTACTTGTATAAATATATAAGTAATATCGAGAGAGTGATGTAAAATAAATAAAAACATTTGTGTCACATATTTAAAGAATAGAGCAAAATGGCGTTTATGCTATCTGTTACAATGCATTTAGCACTTCCGCTTCCAAACAATTAAAGAAAAAATTTGGAGAAGTAAGGAGACAACTACTAAAATTATTAAAGAAATCTGCAGGACCTTAATGAAAGAATGAATTATGGGGAATATTTTTTTTCAAGGAAACATATCTTATCTTCAATTTTTTCAATTGTAGGAAGACACCCATAAAAGTTCAAACTTCGGCCATTTTCGAAAATTCATTGTTGAGTTAACAGTGAAAATTTGACATCTGCTATACTCATAAAAGAAATTCATTCTATTATTACAAAAGAAATTGAAGAAAAAATTAGGAGTGGTTATTGTGAAAATGTAGAAAATTATTGCAGAGGGTTCATGTAAAATATTCCCAAAAATTAAAGGAAGTTACTCAGGGCTGAATTCATTGTCGTCACTGATACTGAGTGTTCCCTTAAGTACACGAATCGTATTCATAAACAACCCTTAAGTGAAGTCTTAAGTGAGCACTCATTCCTCAAGGCATCCTGCTCCCTTAAGTGTCCCTTATGGCTCCCTCGCATCGTCAGTCGTAACCAGTTTAGATATACTTTTATGTCGCGTTCACCGACTACTGAATTCGTTTTGCTGGTGTTCGTATAGTGTAGCCAGTTAAAACGTACCATTTGGGAAACGTTATGAGAAACGATTTCTAAGATCATTTTGAGTTTTATACTCAACACATCCTGCGAAATTCAGAGATATATTAAAGATATGAGCAACCCATTGGAAATGTACATTGATGAACAATTCCGTTTCAATAAAAATACTGAATTGTATATACTTGTGCTGATTGACGAAGTCCCAATGACTAAAAGAGGACTGCCGATGTCCCACTTATTATAAGTTCTCGTTGCATTAAGATTTTATGCAACTACATCCTTTCAGGTATGTTTCCAAATTTTTTAACTTTTATTCATTACTGATTTATAAGACCTATTATAAGTATTTATGAATTTGCAATACGAATAACAAGTGAAATACTTTAAATTGTTGTAGAATCGAATTTATGTTAATACTATAGTGGGTGGACATTTTTATTACATGATATTTTAATAATCGATTACCGATATTGGCAGGTCTATGTTCATACTATTTACATTAGTTATACTAGAGCATAAGTTAACGTTGTGGAATCAATTGAAACTGACGTGAAGTATTGTAAACACAACAAATGAGAGAGAGAAGTGGTCGCTGCGCGCGACGTTAACTCGAAGTTGAAGGATCCACCCTCTGTTAAATTGGACGCCCTTTGTACAAGATGAAGTGCGTGTGTAAACTCGGTTGTCAAGAACTTCTAAACAGCTGCTGCCACTGCCATGTCGCCACATTTCCCTTCCGCTTAAAGGAACACTCATTCCGCGGTCGTAAGGAACGTCTATGAAATATGAGCGCCTATTAGTGAACACTTATTTTGAGAAAGCACTTATCACTTAAGAGTTCGCTTATCCTATAAGTGACGACTATGAATTCGGCCCTCAGAATTACAGAGTGGGGCTACATCGACCGCGAGGAGTTTGAAAGCAATCTTACTCATAGTTTAGTCGCAGACCACAGATAGATGGAAGGACGGACGTACGGACGGACAAACATACAGAGAGACGGATGTTTACAAAAACTTTAGAATAAAGGACTTCCTATTCGTGAAATATGACTACATATCATGTTGTAGGGAGTAATTTACTACATTTCAGGTGAGTATTTATCAACTTTTTCTGTGTGAGAGCTCCACAATAAGAGTTTTTCTCTCAATATAAAGCTTTCTCTATATTACATATATTACTTCATATTTACGTATGTATACGAGAAAGTGAAAATGACCGTGTAAATCGGGTTTTAGCCACGAAGAATATTGGTGCGACGCGCGGGCATATTCTCTTAGTTAGGGTAAAGAACTCAAAAGCTACTGCCTCCGCGGAATTTTAACTTAAATCTCGACAATTCCTTTACTCATTCATAAAAGATAACAGGCGCATGGCTTAGATTATAAAAGGTAAGTTGATGCAGAATTTAGTAACGAATTCAATAGTATATATATTTTCTAGCAGTAAAGTTAGAAAACTACTGCAGCAATAGAGACAATAGCGGTGGCGGTAATGGTCAGAGACGAAATGGTGGGAAGCAGTGTGTGCTGGTTCTTTTCGTTAAATATGAAAATGTGGCTTGCAGGTATTGATCTACATTTATCCAGGAGCTTAGGATATTTTTCACACCATTGTTTGTCTATACATTTTTGGCTTTTTGACACACGAAGGACGTCGAAATATTTGTGTACTCCCCATGTTATCATTTCGGTATGAATGCTGTATAATGGAAAGAATAAATATCGTCGTAATATTTTACTGAAAATGTTTTAAATAAAAAATAATTCATGGCGTAGGTTCGGTACGTGAAAATATTGGGGGAACTTGTCCCTCATTCCCCGTCCAAAATGCCTGTGCACAACTCGTAATTCCGCAAAGAACGGACGGGTCATTTCAGAGTACTCGGAGCTGAATAGCTAGCGCCATCAATGCACTTCTTATTGCAGAGTTTCACACTGTGTTAATTTTCCAGACGCATGCTTTGCTCAGTGTCCCATGTGTGCGCAGCGGCGGACGCGACGGCCAAGGTGCCCTCGGGGCTGACGCGCGGCAACCTGCGCCGCGCTGGGGGACATGACGAGTGCGTGCGGTGGAGGGCGGAGGTGCACACCACTATCTTCCCCCTGTGCTTGTTATTCTATAGCGCAGTGTGTGTCTGTGTGGCGCGTGGCGGACGCGGACAGCCAAGGTGCCTCGGGGTCGCTGCGCGCAACCTGCCGCGCGTGGGGACATGGAACGAGTGCGTGGCGGTGGAGCGAGAGGTGCAACCACTATCTTCCCCTTGTGCTTTATTCTATAGGCCAGTTGTGTCTGTTGCGCAGTGGCGAGCGACGGCCAAGTGTCCCTCGGGGCATGCTTGTCGCGGGCAACCTTTGCGCGCGCGGGATCAGATGGACAGTGCGTTGGCGGTGGAAGGCAGAGGTGCACACCACCACCTTGCACGGCAAGTACTGCCTGGCTAGCTTCGACCTGGACTCAGACAGTGAGCCTTTCGCCCGCTTCATTGACGTTGCCACTGCCGGGCGCCGGCACTTCGAGTTCCGCCATCGGCAAATAGAATTGGTAATCTTCATCGTCAAAATCATGCAATGTGTGTTTGCTGCGTGACAGGTGGTGTTGTTATTAAATTGAATTGAATTAATGCCTTATTTTACGTGGCGAGACTCGGGCCATCGGTCCCACTCTTCCGTCTGACCACGTAAATTTCGCTACGCTCCTCTCACCAACTAGCAGAGAAAGAAGGTATTTCTTGGGCGAGAAACAGGCGATTTTAAATTTAGCTCAGAGGCGTCAATTAGGCTTGAAGATCTTTTACATGCAAGTAAATCTACTAACATGGGACAGCCGGCTTTACTTCCCCTCCGAAGGAAGGCGTACGAAGGATTTTTACGCCCTTAAAAATCCACGGCTTCGATCGGATTTGAATCCGCCAACTTGGGTATACCAGTCCAATAGACGAACCGTTACACCATCTCCGCCGCTTTTGTTATGTTTTAAAATTGTAAAAAAAATAAATTGATGGCGTAGGTGTAAAAAGTTAAATCTATCTGTGGGTAAGGAGAGCTATATGAGTTTGGTGGGTTTATGCTAAAACATACATATTGTAGTGTAAAGAGGCCTACCTGTTGTATATATATTGAAATGGAAGGATACTCATTGGATACACAACCAGTGACATTTTGCTGAGGTACATTAAAATACAAAAATCATATAATGGCAATTTTTTAAAACGCATATTTCTCAAAACTCTTATTTTGGACTTAATACCCTTTGAGCAGCAAAGACGGATATTAGAGCGGGGATATTGGAATTCTCCAGCCCTGGCAAAAAGGAAAGAGTTTCGAATTGAGAGCGTGACCTTAATTTAAATGGGAGATGTCGGCGCGACTCAAGCGCCCCTGGACTTTGCGCAACCCGCGGAACAGTCGATGCTTAAGCGCGTCTTCTCTGCATACAAGTATTCTGCCCCAGCGATTGAGAAATCTCGGTCGGAATTATTACTTGAATCTAGTAAGTAAATAAATAAATCAATCTTGTTCCTATAGACTAGGTATAGCCGTGTTTGTGTCCTTCGCAGGGCAGCGGCGAGCTGGAGGACGCGCCGGGCTACACGCCGGAGTTCAGCCGCTGGGAGCTGGGCGTGTGCGTGCCCGCTGCGTGCGCGGCCGCCGACGTGCAGGCGCTGCTGAGCGGCGTGGCGCGGCGGCTGCTGGCGGGCACGTCGCTGCGCGCCCACGTGCGCGTCCTCGAGCAAACCTGCCAGACCCGCGGCAGCAACCGGAGACCTCTCGGAGCTGCGCACTACGCGTTCGTGTACGTAAAGGCTCTCGGCGCAATGCGGCGATTTTCACGAGCTGTGAGGATCAGGGGGCGGGTGTGGGTGATCTAAAGCAGGGGTGTCACTTGCAAGGCCTCACGGTCCACACCTACATCCTTTCAAGCCCATCCCGGTGAAAGAGATCTCAAAGGCAGGAGTGCCGTAGCGATCTCGGAACGAAGGATCGCGGGTTCCAGTCCTATCTCGGGCATTGTACTTGCGTTCGTCCTTTCACCCCCTATCATGTCATCTTCACAGTTACCGTAACGTTAAATACAATGGTGGTCGCCAATGACCTAGATGTTGATGCGACCTTGAATACAAAAAACAACTTTTAATGTGGTTACGGACCATAATTGCATTACTTGGGCGATCCACTCGTAATCCCGTATTGTTGATCTCGTGTAGTGTGCTCAGGGGATGGAACCATGCATGATTTCAGGCCCTGCTATGCATAATGCAGTGAAACACATTGGGATGATTCGGAATTTCTGGAATTATTAGAAAAAATTCGGGACGTCTAAACTTAACATTTTTACATCACGGGGTGTTGACCATGAGAGTGTGCGTGAACTAGGCGCAATATTGTCGCCTGACATGGATGCAAGGAACTTCGAGTTTGTGTAGTAACCTTTCGCGGGCCTGAATAAATGACACCAAGGGCCCTGATTTGAAACATCAGCAAGGTGATCAATAAATGCGCTTAAAATGCTTTAAAAATGTCCTTAAAACAAAGAATTATGACGTGAAAAAACTGATCGAAACCTGTTCACATGAACAGCTCAAGCTGTTGGATATGTTACTGATGTCGAGGCTTCTTCCTTCATTCATTAGAACTCAGCTTGCAAACTTTTTGGTTGGATTTTTCATTACCAGGAAATCTCTGTCTTTCGTTATCCTGTACCGACAACGGTGATGTAGGTGCCACAGGGATCTTAGATTATATACTTTCAACGACTGACATTACAATTACTGAGCGAAAAATCAAATAGGCTACTCAGGAATTCCGTGGAGAGCAATTGTAGAAGCTAATGCTAGAACGGAATTATTATTTTAAGAATATAAATACGACATTAAATGGAAATTTTCTTTAAAAAATTTGGAGCAGTTTTTAGGAAAATGGCAAGAAATCTCTACAATAAATTCTAAATTTCAAGAACTTTTTCACAAACAAGTCTTGAGTTTTTACTTCATCTGAAGTAATTTGAGGCACATTAATTCACAAATTCAATACTTTTTACAAATTGCTGGAAATGTGCATAATAACGGCGTGAAAGATTAAAAAAAAAATTTGCGTAATTTTTGAAAAAAGAAATAAATCACTGAAATGAACTTAACGTCATATTAAAGAGTCCAATTATTAATATCTTTTCGAAACGTTTGAAGAAAAAATTTGGTGTACTTTTTGAAAAAATGGCGTTTGAGCGTTTTTGAAATTGGGAAATTCTGAATACGTTTTGACAGAAAACTAGTTTTCAGGAAGCTTTATATGACATTATTGAAAGTACATTTACTCATAAACATGATAATGTGAACAATTTGCCGCTAATATAAATATTAACGATGTAACAAGCCAAACAAATATCATTTTTCTAATTTTTGAAAAAAACAAAAGTAGATATCAAAATGGCGTTTATGTGATATTATTGTGTGCATTTAGAAGAAACCCTACCAAAAGTTAAAAAAAGAAAGAGCCGTTTTTCTCAAAATTTAGATCTTGTGATTTTTTAGTTGCACATTTTGCAAGCAATATTGCGCGAAAATTACTAACACTTTCGAAAATATGTACATGCTCTTAATGAGAGAACTTACTATGGAGAACAAATTTTATTTGAAGGAAAAAACTCTATCTTTAATTTTGTAGTTGTAGTTAGTAGCTTTGAAATTTTCGAAAATTCAGTGATAATCGTGTAAATCGGATTTATGCCTCATTTATACGTGTATGTTACTCAATTTGTAGAAGAAATTTAAAGAAAAATGTGTTTTTGAGAGAATTTTGAAATTGTCCGGAAGGCTTCATGTAACTATATGTAAGTACCCCCAAATTTTGAAGAATGTTTTTCAAAATATCAAAGTTTCCACTCTAGCCAGATGGACAGGGGTTTCTTCAATTTGAAAAACAACAACAACAACAACAACAACAACAACAACAACAACCGAGGAATCATTTAGACGCTAGTAGTGTTCACAGACACCAGACGGACGGACGGATTGACGGACTAATGGGCTGATGGACAGACGGACGTTTAAAAAAACACTCTTTCGATATCAGGGGACCCCAAAATGCGTATTTCCGTCGAAATCGATTTTCCGCAGTCAAAAGAAGGTATCCTCAAGGAAAAACATAAATAAAACAGCTACTCAATATTACAGAAGCTTTTATGAAAGCACAAGTAATACACCCACAAAACGGCATTACAATGGAAAAGTTAAAACTGAAATTCCACCATTCATATCCAAAATACGTGGGGCAATTTCGGAAACGTCGGGAGATGACTGCATTACTGTCGAACTTCTTAAAGAAGAAAAACTCAAAGAAATTGTCAAACGTTTCAACTATATATTAACAACGGAAGAACTCCCCTTAAAATGATTCACAAGTACCATAAAACTCATTCACAAAAAAGGAAACAGAAACAATCTCACTATCGGCCAATTAGTCTTATGTCAAACATGTTAAACCCTTATCTAATATCCTGACAAGGAGAGTGACCTAAATACTGTATGAACAACAGCCATCGGAACAAGCAGGATTTCGAACAGGCTTCAGCACCACTGATCACCTACAAACAATCACTCATATCATCTAAATATACAAGTATATTATATAAAATTGCACATAGCATTTGTTGATTTTACAAAAGCTTTTGACTGTGTTGACACTCATTTATTTAAGCACTCAAAACTTAAGGAGACCCCAAGAAATATATTAACATTTTAAAAAAACTATATGCCCTCACGGCCAAACACAAGTAAGAACAGATCAAGAAGGAGAAATATTTCAAATTAAGAGAAGAGTATGACAGGGGGACCCAATATTCCCTAAATTATTTAATAGTCAGCTGGAAATGTGTTTCCGTAAAATAAATTGGTCAAACGAAGCACGTGTAAATATCAACCGTTGGCGGTTAACAAACCTCTTTTTTTTTCTTCTGCAGACGACATCGCTTTATTTGCTACATCGCCAGCAACTCTAAAAGAAGTGCTATGCGATGTAAATGCAAGATGCACGGAGGTAGTTTTACAAAGGAATTTATCGAAAACTAAAGTAATGAATTACAGCGAACGTTAATTAATTATGGTGAACGACAGTAACATAGATTACGTTCGAGAATATGTTTATCTAAGCCAGCTGGTATTTTTAACAAATGGAGGAGATTAGGAAATTAAGAGAAGAATTAAATTAGCATGGAAAAATTTGGAGCCATTCCTTCATACTACTAAATAAAAAGATAAACCTCAAAATCAAAAAGGTACTAATGGACGTATGCATCTTGCCTGTATTGATTTATGGATCACAAACATGCGAAAATGAAATGGATACAATGATGTGAGAGGAAAATGGAGCGAAAGATGTTAAACATTTTGCTTTTAGACAAAATACCGTCTACGGAAATTAGAAGAAAGACCAACACCAAGGATGCAGAACAGCAAGCCAAAGTGAGTAAATAGCGTTGGGGAGGACACATCATAAGACAGAACAAAAAGCGATGGGAGTACACTACAACAACCTGGTACCCTCGGTATGGCTGGAGAAACCAAGGGAGACAGAGACGAAGACGGGCAGACCAGTTAAGCAAGGTAGCTGGTCCCACATGGACGGGACCGGCCCACGAGAGGACAACATGGAGACAACTGGGACACAAACAGCAAAATGATGATTTTACAAACGTCAACCTAATGTAACCCTACAAGAGCAGGAGACCTTTGCCCTTTATGGGGCGTTGTAGGTTAATAATAATAATAATAATAATAATAATAATAATAATAACATTAATAATAATAATACAAAAGGTCTTGAGGTTTCACATTAGGTTTATAGACCATTTACATACGAGAAAATAAATAAATTGCGCATAATATTCTTTCAAGGCCTTTTTAATATAAATCAATATTGCATTTATAAAACATGAATTTAAATACTGTATTTTTTCATTTTCATTGTACAACATAACCTAGAAATGTTAGTAACTTAAATTGCGTATCGCAAGAGAAGCTAACTTTTGGAGATATTTTACGGGAAAGGGAGGGGAAGGTCTTGTCTTGACCGACATTACACTTCTAAATCCTCACGTGTGTTGAAGGTTACGTTTTTTATAGCACTGCAGTCGCATTCCTTGAGCGCAAGTACCTTTCTATTCAAACAGTAGAGTCGTCATAATGTCTGCTGTGGCAAGTCCTGGCCTCGTGATCTATGAATCGATAGTTTTGTATCATGAACGAATGATCTGATGTTATAATATTTCTTATGTGAAAATTCACTGCGATACGCGTTTAGGATTACTAGCAAGTTTCTAGAACGGATTATGCTCGTTACCCTAGGTTCTATTGTAATTTTAAAACATTCACCGAATACCCCTAGAAAATACTTTTCAGGGTACGCTGAAATCAGATAAATATGTACTGAACGCATTGTATGAATATTTTATTATTATATAATCGTATGCTTTATTGCTCATATTTCAGAGCATTCTGTGGCACATTTTTAGTGCTAGTAATTCTTGGCACCATATGGAATTTCCATTACGACTGCAAATCTCCTGAAGATAGAAGTAAGTAAAAAAACTATTTGAACAATAAAATATTATTAACTAATTCTAATAATAACAATTTGGTATTCGTTTACAATTGTAGTGAATCTTAAGTGTAAAAGAATTCTAGTGGTACAATTATTAGGAATTTTGCACAAAATTCTGTCGTATCATCACCATACCAAAGAAAGTTATAAACAAAATTGTTGATCATTGTAAATATGGATCTACATGGATTAAAAGTTGTTTTTTTATTAATCTTGATCATTAATTTTTAAAAACAAAATTTTATTTTATTAGTCTATTCTTGTTTGAGAAAGTTAATTTATGTTTTGAACAAAAATTCTTCGTTTTTGCCCCAATTCGATTATTGATGTATATTTTTTCCGAAGGTGAACTTCCATAATTACACTGGTCTAAAAAAAAACTGTTTCTGTAACAAGAAAAAAATAACATTGTTTCTGGAAGACAATTTGCCTCTCAATTAATATATTATTTCAGAATTTCTGTATCGGCCTTAGTTTTCATGTGATACTTTTTGTAATTTCTTATGTCTCCCTGTGTATTGCATGTATCTGGCAAAATGACACGCTCTAATAACAACAGATCATCATGTATACAGTAAGAAATACAACAACATAAGTGTTAAGAAAAGTGAAGAGGCGGGGCTTGAAATATTGTCTCAGCATGGATATCTTTTCCTCTGAATTCTGAATGTTCGTCACTAGCATTCTTCTCTATTGACTATCACATTCTCAGGAGGTAGTGGTGCAGGCAATTCTTCACTGCCCCAATAGAGGCCTTGTAGCAGATGGTAAATTAGGATATTGTTTATAAAATTGTTTATATTTAATACAGTTTTCCTCGTTTTTGAGATGATTCCAGCTATTTGTTCCAGACAAAAACACGTATGTTACGTGATCCGTTGTTTCCCTCCAAATCATGGGAACAGCAAAAGGCAAGTGTCGTAAATGTTTAACCAGCATGTCAGGAGAGTAACACACGGCACACAGCATATACCGATCGCCCATTTTTTGCCTTGGTCGCCTACCTTGCACCCGAAGTAAAGTTCATGACATTTTCTTCTCAGAGGATTAAGGTTCGGTTTTTGCGATTTTAAAGTTAATTCTCCGCAGATATAACAAAAGGTATTTGGGTTATTTTTATAGTTACGAGGCTTTTCTTCTTCTAAATTAATACGAAGTACAAACCTTCCTGAACTTAGAACAATAAGCAGTCAATCCAAGCCACTTTCCAAGCTGTCAGATCTGCGAAGGCTGGGGCGCAACTGTCAAGAATCACCAGACGATTCTATCTGTTGGTTCATGATGCAATGTTGCCAAACCATATTCCATATTCTAAAGGTTAATTTTCTGACATGAGTATGAAGTATAAAAATACATTGTCTACATTTCGATTGTTACTGAACAATTACATCTGCAGACTTATTAAATAAACCAACAGCGAAATAACCATTACACACTATTTTCAAGCATTTCCGTAAATAGAAAGTAGTGTACATCAAAAAAACTAAGTCCAATAGGCAAAAACTAATTTTAATTTCGAATTCAGTGTCCAAATCTTAGTTAAGAACATCATTCATATTCTTTGTTACAAAAATGCTGTTGACCAATGTTATTAAGTGATCTTTCAAAAACATACTAATGATCTGAAAGAGTCAGTAAAATCATTTTTGTAGTTTTGCAAATTCTCTGCCCTCGTCAAGCAGACATTTTCGGATATACCATTTGAAATCTATCCTTTTTTTATATTACTGACATCCAATTTGAGTAGCATATAAGTTTGATAAATACTACGATAGGTTTGTACATTGCTAAGCATTTGATCACCGATTAGGATAGTGACTTTTTTCACATTATGTGATAACAACAATTTCACAACAGTATCAGAAATACTGTTATTCACTACTGCACTATTTATATTTGGATTTTTCAGAGAGAAAAAAACATTGTAGGCCGAAGTTATTTAAAATGTTACAAATACATCAAATTTCTAAACTATCGGTTCCTGTAATTCCATTTGGAGGTTTTATCGCAAACAAAAATGCGGGGAAACCATTCGATGAGACCCATATGAAATGCTGCTAAGGGACGAGAAAATATGTTGGTAAGAGACGATTACATTATACTTTATGAACCAGTTAATCCTTAACGAAAACGCCGGCTTTCGCAGCCGGAGTCGATAGAACATTGCTTCCTGGGTGACATCGCTCTTTAGACATGACTACCACATGCGTCATAGTGCGACATTACACCTGAAGGCGACGGAGTTGACCTAAATGTCGAGAGACTGGCATGATAATTAGCGGCTCCTGGCAAAGATTGTACTGAGACTTAACTTCATCACGTCTGAGAGCACTTTATTATGATCAATAAAAACTTGCCTTTTCGCCCAAACATGATGTGATGGATGAGAATGATATGATTTGAATGCTGAAGCAACGTAAAATGACAAGTAAGGGCAAAGGGTAAATTGAGAAACCCTGTCCATCAAAAAGCCCAAATGGATCGATGAAATCAGAACATCAGTACTCAGAGCTGGACGTTTCATTGCACTTAGGGATACCATAAGGATACCAATGGAATTCAGGACATCCGAAATATATTTCAGAGCAAGTTGTTTATTTTAATACAACAAAATAGTGAACCAAGTAAATCGTACAACAAGCAAATCGTGCATAAAGTACACAACTTAATAGATATATCAAGGCAAATTACACGGCACACTTTCAAGAAAAGTGTCCACTTCTTTTCTAACACGAATTTCCCTGACTTATGGAGGTTATCCCTGTAATTTCCTTACTTTTTCATGACAAAAAATTGTTAAGTATTTCTTCATTTTTCAGCTCTAAGATTGGTCTCTAAAAAGACAAAGATTACAATATTTGCTTAACAAACCCACTTGCGTTTTCTTATGTATCGCATAGTTCAGTGATGTAGTTTATAAACAGTCCCGAAACGCAGTGTTTTGTATGACTGTGTGGAATTATAACAGAGAATAAAAATTCAGGACATTTGGCACGAACAAAGAAAATCTAGCGGAACGGTGGGACACAAGTCGATATTCAGAGCATGTCCCGCTTTTTCAGGACGTACGGCAACCCTAACTACACTACGAGTTGCCCCTTTTCTGCAGGTGCAGGAGGCCTCGATTGGTGAGGGGTTAGTTGTCTGTTCTCTGAACCCCAAGTTGTCGGGTTCGATCCCGCCCGAGGTGCTCGAATTTTCGAACAGCGTAAAATCCACAGTAGCCACGTCACACTTGAGACTGGAAAAGGAGCCCTTACGGTATGCCCGGCATAAATCACTGTGAGAGAATCCCGCCCTATCGAGATGCCACTTTCTCCCAACCAGACAGCTCGGATGTAGTTAACCGAAACCGACATCTGAAGAGAAAGTGAGTACAATTCCAGGCGCATTGAGGGTATCGCCCGCCAGGTGCGCCTGCAAGATAAAATTCCCTAGATCCAAGACGGGGATAGGCTTCCAAGGAAGCCTGGGTCGAAAAATTCTTGTGTGAAACTGCCTAAGGCAGCCTCTCCGCAACGACAAACAAGTAAATAAATAAATGTGTAGGTCCAGGTGAAGCTGTCCTGTGCGCCTTCTCGCTGTGCACCGGCTGGAAGCGGCTGACGAGCGACCGAACTGAGGAGCTGGCTCCATCGCCGGCCTGCGCGCGCTCACCACGCTCATCATGATATTCCTCCACGAGCTCATCTACTTCACACAGGAGCCCGCCATCAACAAGACCTTTCTCATGGAGGTGAGTAGGAAGGCTGAGGCGTAACCAAAGCCGGAGCTAGACAACTTTGGACCTAGCGCAATTCTGAAACGTCCCGACAAAATTAAAAAAGAGAGCGTTTTTTAACAAATTATGAGTTATTTTATTTCAATAAATAACAAAAATTAAACGTTTAAGCAAGAAAAAGTTTTAGGAAACAGATTTAAAAAATCCGTTTAAAGAAAAATTATTTAGTGATCAAATAATACAATTTCAACGGTGAGCTTTAAACGCTCAAACAATTGTTCTGTTTAGTTAGTGTGTTATAAAAGCACTTGTGAAATATATGAAGTAATACATTTGAATTCCAGTAAATCCTATTTAAAAATTGGCTTCATTTGATTCATTAAATAAAGTTGACCTTGCGTAATTTCTATACTTAACTATATAAGGTAAAACATTAATTCAAAATTTTATGAAATATCAGATCACGACTTATAAAATTGCGATAAGGCCTTTCTCGAGTTCTAATTTCTTTTTCAATTTCTTACCCCTTTTATTCCACGAGTACCATCATCGCGCCCCTTCACTTGCGGGGCCCTGAGTGATCGCCCGGACTGCCTACGAATAGCGCCGGCGCTGGTCATATTATTTCTAATTGTGTTGAGTGCGACAAACCTTCGCTCTTTACTTGATTATTCACTGAACGAAAGAAGCTCAACAGTTTTAGGACCAAGGAAGAAACGGATGAAACATGAGCGTAGAAATACATTGTTCACGCCCATTGCTATCAACACAGCTTAATAGTTTTAACTAAGGTTTATTTGAGAGGGGAGGGTGTCGCGAAATATTCACATATTCATTTTACATTCTCGCATTTACTAATTTAAGAAAGAAAAAGTTGTGTAATCGTGCGTATGCAATGTTATGTAATTTTCTACCCCAAAACTCTTATTGTCGGACCCTTGTAAGGTAAAAATGGATACATTTAATTGCTAAATGTAGAAAATGAATTTGCTAACACGTGGTATATCCAGAATCCATATTTTGTGTGTTCTTGACATAAAAAATCGATTTACGGCAAAACGTCTGTCTGACCGTCCGTCTGTGCACAACGCTAGCTCATAAACCGTTTAGCCGATTTTCTCCAAAATTGATAGTCCTCAACCGTTGCTGATGTCCAGAAACGTAGAATCTGAAACTGAAATTTTAATTTTGGGTAATACTTTATATGAATTTCCTATAACAGTTTCAAAATTTTCCGAATTGACCAAAAAACTCAAAATTGGATTTGGAGATTTTTGACTAAGACAAGTCTGTTGCACAAAAATTAGCTCTTAAAAAAGCTCATGTAAAATGTTTTTGAAATACGAGTCGTTTGCGCGGTATTTCTCGTTGAATTTAATCTATATTATATATATATATATATATATAATAATATTATCTGGGGTCCTATGAGCCTGATTATTGCGGTAAATGGTTATTGTTGCAGATACTTGAGACCATTTGAAGACATCCCATGAACTTCATGATCCCAAACAACGATGAACTTTGGGTGATAACACATTCGTCATGTCACCAGGCTACAATTGTTCGCACTGGTTTGAAGAATTTTGGGAACAATTCGCATCAGACGATCTCTCCATCCACCAGACATGAATCCCATCGAATATTTATGGATTAAATCGAGAGGTCAGTTCGTTCTACAATCTCACTCACGCGCGCTCTTCGCAATTATGGACGGCTATAGAGGAGCATGGCTCAATATTTGTAACGAGGATTCCAAACGACTTCTTTCTGTCCCGTCATATCGAGTTGCTGCACTTCGCTGGGCAAAAGAAGCCCCTCATGATATTAGGAGAATATACGACGTTTGGTAGATTTACCTACTGAAGGATTACGATAAATACTATCAAATTACGGATTCACCTGATATAATTGTATAAGCACAGAGATGGGGAAGAGACCCCAACTGGCCTACGTGAATTGTACAGATAGATGAGTCTAAAGGGTACCCTAGGCGTGATGTTCGCGGAGTGCCGATGGCGCTCATCCCCCAGGGAGGCGGTGTTAACAGCGGGTGGCCCTGGTAATGTCACTTTGGCACCAATGTGTGCCAGGAGTGTGTGTGTGTGTGTGTGTGTGTGTGTGTGTGTATGTGCCGCCGTTCAATATATAGAGAACTAAACTTGTACGAGAGCCTGTTCCACTTTGTAACACACTAGTTAGTACAATCCCTTGACTTATATGTTCTTCCTTTACGATTGAAGCGGCTTCAATTCACGTTATTATAGTGCTAACAATTAATTTAGGCGGTTTCTGTCTCTACTTTTCGGCTTGCTTTGCAATAAAGCGTTTGCTTATTCCCCTGACAATATGCAAACCAAACATGAACCAAATCTAATGTGTATGCAAAAGAGAGAGAGGCTGATTTTTTTAATAAAGAAAGACCTAGTTCTAAAAAAGTGGTTTATTCTCAGCCGTATATCGCAAAGAATGTACCATGGACACATGGTTTCCAAACTTGCATGAGGATGTACCAAGAAAACGGTCGAGTCTCAGATGCCATTCAAAAAGGTCCCAATCACGAGCACGCCTGAATCCCTGAATGTTCCTGGCGAGGAGATGTTACACGTAGGCTTCGCGGCTCGAGTTCATATTCTTGGCTGTCCTGGATGACGCGCGCGTCGTTGGGGCTGAGAGGCCGACGTTTCGGACTGTCATTTCGCAGCTTCTTGGTAGTGATGTTATGAGAATATTTTTCTTCAAATGAAAAATTGTTGTCCACAATTAATTCCTTTTACTAAGTCATGTACATTGTTTCTAAATTTTTCGTAGTTTCCGTCGCAATATTTGCAATTTTAAAAAATTAAAAAAACACGATTTTCTAAACAATAGAGATCTAATTTTTTTGTAAACTTTTGGTAAGGAGTGTGATATAGAGATGTGACCAATGAAGTGACTAAACGTTAGTTCGTCTATCTTATGGTTTTTCAAACATTTCGAGAGAACTTGTAATTTTTGACAATTCTTTCACGTCGGTTATATTCATTTAGCAGCAATGTGTTCACATTTTTATATTTGTGAGTACTTGTGTTTAAGTCATGTCAGATGAAGCGTTCTTGAATACTTAACCTTTTCTGTGAAAAACTAGCACAAAATTCCGCACTTTCGGAAACGCTTAATACCATTTTCTCAAAAACTGCTCCCAAATTTTTTCTTTACAGCTTTCTGATTGGTTAGTGCCAATTGCACTCTTTAATATGACGTAAAGTTTATTTTGAGAGATTTTTTTAAAACTTACTAAAGTAATTTTTGAAAGGTTTTCATACTAGTTAATATGTAATTTCTAGCATTTGAAAAAATATTGTATTGTGACGTTAATGTTCTTCAAATTGCAACTTCTAAAAAATGTTTTCGATAACTCAAAATTCTGTGAAGAAAAGCTTCAAATTTTCAATTTACTGGTAGCTGCTTAAAACCATTTTTTTTAAAAACAGCTCCCAAATGCTATAAAAGAAAGTTTGCCATTTAGTTAGTGTTTTATTGTTCTTCGAATATTTCAAAAATTTTATTTCCGTTCTACTATTGGTAATCTAAAAATAAGAAAATTGAAAGAAAAAATTACTTTCGGCGACGATATATGGCAGCTGGCAAAAAGAATATGTGGCAGAGTCCGCATTAGCATTCTGTATCTCCATTAGATTTCGTGAGGTTAATATTTGTTCCAGATGTTTATTGAAATCTATAGGAGCCTACAACTTGAATTCCGTAAGTGTCTTTCGAACGGAAAATGGCGTTTCTAATTAAAGCCTATACCACATCTTACCAAAGGATTTCATCAGTTTGAAAGAAGAGCTCTCTAGAAAAAGGCACGACCGAACGAATTTTCAATGCTGGAATAAGAATCGTATTCTTTGGGCCTCCACTCACCAGCACGACAGAAGCGGCGTGGAGTTCGTTTCGGTTACGCAGGTGATGCACGATTGTCGTAGCCGATACATGCCGCTTCCTGGAGTTTGAAGCGCATTAAGGCGGTACACATCACTTAAAACTTATACATAACTTGCTTCAAATTTCGAATTTACGGTAGTGCTTAAGGCCGTTTTTTAAAAGCACTCAAAATTTTTCAAAAGAAAATTAACTTACATCAAAACAAGTGGAATATACCTTACAACAAAGTTACTTTATCATGTAAAATCTATTACATCTCACTTCAGTCGCTGAATTAGTTTATTTCAAAACTAATTCTACAAAAAAGTAAAACCTTACATTGACTGGGGGTCTGACTGGAATCGTTCTGGACATTTGGTTTACATATTCTCCTTATTTGCTATTTCAAATATTTCACCTGACTAATTGCAAAGGGTTTACAAGAACGCCCAGTCATGATAAAAAGTATATATACGTGAGTTTCGGATAGACCGTCCAATACAGATGTTCGGTGACGAAAACATTTACGTAAAGTAATTATTTTCCTCCTTACTTAGAATTGAGGTAATCATTCTGATTGTACATTTACTGCTCATTATTCACAAACACATAATATTATCTGACTCTGAATACGCCATTACTGAATATTGTTGGCATCCGAAAATTATCGCATCAAAAATGCCGTATCTTTAACTACGTCAAAAAAACATCGCTTTACAAATTAAACAATTCCACTCCACTCCTCCCGCATCTGAATATTTTCCCACATACATCCCGCCCATACCGTTGTCAAAAGTGCTGGTTGTTGGTTTATGTCTGTCTCGTATCTGGCCCGAAATATAGGCGTCTCCTGTTCGTTTCTAGTGCCAGACCCTTCATTTCCGCTCACATTATTTAATTGGTCAGCGCAATTATGAAACATATCTGTTTATTTCTTTGGTTTGGTGTTTCGTAATAAACGTTTTTTATTTATTTTTCTCATCATTTGCCTCGTGTCCTTTCGCTTATATTTATCACATATTTCTGTATTTTTCCCGCTATCAA